TCCAGTGGCTAGAGATGAATCACTAGATGGAAAGGGCTCTGAGTTGCTACTACAGACAATTCTTTTCCAGGTGTCTGCCTGGTGGGTCTCGCCAGCATGCTAACACGGTCTAACTGACTTGGAGCTGGGAAAGAATTTTCCCCCGAGTCAGATTGGCAGAGTCCCTGGGGGTTTTTCACCTTTCTCTGCAGTGTGAGGCATGGATTGCTTGCTAGTTTGAACTGGAGTAAATGATAGAATCTCTGTAACTTGAAGTCTTTAAATAAAAATGTGAGGACTTCAGTAACTCAGTCAGAGGTTATGGGCCTATTACAGGAATGGGTGGGTGAGGTTCTGTGGCCAGTGTGGAGGGAGGTCAGAATAGGTGATCGTGATGGTCTCTTCTAACCTTAAAGTCTATGAGAAATAATAATAATAATAATAAACATACTGGAATCAGATGAAAATTGTTATTTTCTTTCAAATTCCTCTATGCCTGTCTTGTCTCTCTCAGCTCCTTCTGCTCACTTAATACTGGCCTCCTTTCTGCTCCTTCGCACAATCTTTCCCCGTGGGTACAAGAGCCTTCCCTTCTGCAGCTTCTCCTGCTCTGAGCAGCCTTCTTGTATCGTTGCCTTATCAATCCAGCTAGACAACCCTAGGCCTTCTTTGTGTGCCAGAGCACAAGGATCAAAGAATTTGACAGCCCCTTGCACAGGTGCCCACTAAGGAGAGCTCTGGTTCCTCCTTGTGTACCATACAGGGGAAGTCACTGTCCAGCCCATAACCTATAAAACAGTAAAAACCCACTAGACTAAATGCAGTTATAACCCAAAACTATCCTTGAAAATGAGGACAGAGGCTTGGGACCAGATTGTTTCAATGTACTGGCCTGGGGAACTTTTGGGAGAAGAGACAGTCTGTATGGAAGAGATGAACTGTAGTTTAACTGAAGCAAAAGCAAGTTTCTAGCTCAGATATTAAAATATTTTAAGGAATATCCTTCCTTTGGAGGAAGTATTTAAACAAAGAACTGGGAGAAAGCTGACAGGTGATAAGGAGCCCTCAAGTTGGACAGCCATCTGCTGGGAATGTTTGCCATACATAGGTATTACTTTGTATTAGAGCTGAACTGGAGGATGGATAGGTTGAGATCACAGAAGTAAATTCCATACAAGTGAAAGGGTGTTAGATTAAGAAGTTAAATAAATGAAAACAGGCTTATGGCCCAACTATAATAAAAGTTTATAAGCCAACATGAGAACCTCCAAAACATTAGTTGGTGACCTAGAGGGAAACGTTCTACATACTAGGAATAGAGGAATGACATAATAGACATTTCTGAAGCATGGTGGAATGATAAATCAATACTGTGATACCTGGCTATAGTATCTATACAGTAAAGATAGATTAAAATATGCACTACACTTAATAGATTCTGCAGAATCTAACAGAAAAAAAAACCTATCTGTGCCCATATAGTAAATTTATACTGATACAAAACCCAGTGCATAAAAATGAAACTATAAAGCAGTATTTGACCACTAGCTTCCAGAGCAGGAAAACAATAATGTTGAGGAAGATCAAAGAGGCAATTAAGTCTAATAAACCAGTGATAATGAGTGACTTCATCTACCCACAAACAAAATGGTCAATGTCACAGTGGGACAAGGTTCGGATTGCTTCTTGGACCGCTCTTTCTAGATCACACATGAATAGAGGCTATTTGCATCTTAGTCATGTGTAATACACAGGAGTTGATTCAAGAAAAGATTATAATTCAGCCTTTAAGTAATAGGGATTTGGCTCTAATTCAGTTCAATATCTTCAGGAGAGACTTTCTTTCAGACCTCTGGCTAAATTCTCTGCTGACATAACCCCATTGAGGTCAATGGAATTGAAATTAATGGAGTTACACAAGCAGAGAATTAGGCCAGGCCTAGTGCCAGGATTGTAATGTTGGGTAGGTGTGTGATTTTGTTCATGACATTTCTATACCAACAAAAGCTGTTTTGTAGATGCAGTTACACTAGCATAAAAGTCCTTTGCCATATAGCCCATTGTACTCAGACAACTGGCAAACGCTATACCAGCAAAACACTTTTTGCCGCTATTGCAGCTACACTAATAGGTTTGATAGCAATAGGTACATAGGCAAACCTTTTCTAGTGTAGGCTAGGTTTTGAGCTCCTACTCTTTTTGAGTAATAAAGATGAGGACTGTCTGTGATTGAGATGTTAAAAGAGAAAGTGCTGATGAGACCTGATATATTAAAGAGCAACAAGTTACTAGGAGTGAGTGATATGTACTCAAAACTTCTGCAGGAGCTTAAGAATGAAGTGGCTTACAACTTCTGCTAACAAAAATATTTACTCTCTCATTAGAATCAGCTGCAGAGGACAGGAAGGGAACAAATGCTCACTACAGGATTTTTTATACCTTCCTTTTTGCACCTAGCATTTGGACCTGGCTAGCCAGAGACATACAACTGGACTAGAAGGACCACTGGTCTGATCCACTGTTGGAGTTCCCCTGTTGTGCCTCCCTCTTGCACAAGTGCTCTAGCCTGGAAGGGCTCAAAGAACCATCTTTGGGTACATCTGCATGGGGATGAAAGCCCTGTGGTACGTCCGTGGCTGGTCTGGGTTAGCTTACTCAGACTCGCAGGACTTAGGCTACGCAGCTAAAAATTGCTATGCAGACATTGGGGTTTGGGCTGGAGCCTGAATTCTGGGACCCTCCATCATTGCAGGTCCCAGACCTTGGGCTTCTGCCTAAGCCTTGAATGTCTATACTACAGTTAAACTAGGGTGACCAGATGTCCCGATTTTATAGGAACAGTCCCGATATTTGGGTCTTTTTCTTATATAGGCGCCTATTACCCCCCACCCCATCCCGATTTTTCACACTTGCTATGTGGTCACCCTAAGTTAAACAGCTCCTTAGCCCGAAACCCATGAGCCCGAGTCAGCTGGCATAGGCTAGCTGTGGGTTTTTAGTTGCAGTGTAGACATACCCTTTGTAGCCCCCTGATGAGAGGCCCGGTGCTGTTGCAATTCCTGGTTAAGACACTGCTCCCTGCTAGAACGCCCTGGGGCACAAGTCACTCTGGCTCACGAGTTACCTAGATGCAGAGGAAAGCCTGGGTCCTCTTACACACTTTAGGGCACATTTAACCAGATGGCTACCCTACCAAGAGATGATTCAGGGAGCATGCTCCACCTGCACTTCAGTGAACAACTGGAAGGCATTGTGCCTTCCTGAGCCATAAAATATTCTGTAGCAACCCTCTCTGTGGTCCTGTGCTGGGAGGTTCAATCAGGCCCTTAATGAGAGTTTATATAATTGTAATGGGAGAAATGGAATTTTCAATAGAGAGTCATATCTATTGACTCTCCATCTCTTAGTCCTGGTGGGACAGCAGCTGAGTCAAGTGTTAGCGAGGGCATGTAATTATTGCATAGCTGATCCTGGCCCTGTGCAGTTCTTTCAGCACTTAGGTGGGCTTTAGCTACCAAACCTATGACAGCTGTAATCCTAGCTGATCTTTTAAGTGGAATAATATCAATATAGAATAGAAATTCACGGAGCTGACCTGATAATGGGGATGGAAATGTTCTACCTATGTAAAAGCCTAGATAATCTTCTAGGAATTGATATCAAGAGGACAGGCAGGTGGATTGGAGTATAGACCAGAAGGGAATAAATAGAAATGGAAAGTCTGATGTGATTGTTTATCATTGTTTTAGGAAAACAACAGAGCTTTCAACTCTCTTCAAGCAGAATTCTCCTCAGTTGTCAATATATTCAACATTCAAACAATGTTGAAAGATAGTGGTAGAAAAAGTCAGTTCCTGTGTGTGGTAAACATATTAGTGTGCAGGATTTGTGTTGACATAGAAAGTAGCATGTGGACATTGTGGATTTAATGCATATTGATGTAGGATAAACAAACACTTCAATGTTATGTGGAAGCATGTGTAAGTTAAATATATACTGGAAAAGCTGATTTCTCAAGGAGAATAAGAGCATTGTCATCCTAAGGAATTAAAGTAAAATTTCTCATGGACGCAGATAGAAAGGTTCTTCCAAATGTCCAAGACAGTGCAGAAAATGGAAGAGAGGTCCAGGGAAGGGGTAGGGAAAGTGTGAGAAGTATAAAAAATCCCATGTAGCAGAGCCGACCAGTGCTGTACCCTGGTAGCTCTTCGATTTGTGCTTGTCACCCTTACATGTACTTTACAGTTAGTGTAAACACCAATGATTCTGTGCAAGGATGCCAGCATCAGACTGAAAGTATGTGAGTAGTGAGTATTCAGAATACTCTTGGCTGTATATAATGAGGGCTGTTAACTCCAGCTGGACATCACCTCAAAAGCCTTTTTAAAAGGAGTCAATATTAGAAAGGCAAATGCTATCTCTAATTTTTTTTCAGGCTACTCGCCACTTCAGTCTCTTCCCCCTTTAGTTTTGTAATGATATATACCCTATGATAGGAGAATGTTTGCCTATGAGTGGTATTTTGTGTGGTATAACTTTCAGTCAGTTTAGGACGTCTGAACAGATTGTGATATGAGAAATGTCACTGTTACAGTTAGCGCTCCCCCCCTTTTGATAGGCCTTGTGTAAACACACACAAAGACGTGATCCCTGCCCAGAAGAGCTTGCAAACTAATTTATAATTTTGAAAAATCACCTATAAAGTTAACAACCCCCTTTTTCCGTTTCTTGAAATATGAATAACTGTAAAAATGTGGGTTCTTCCATAAAGGAAATCATCTTGGCCTGTCCATTATGTTTTTAATGTTATTCCAAATTGTAAAATGTGTGCTAGCCTTTGTGGTGACATCTTTTAAACAAACCTATACAACCATCTCTCTTATATTTAATTCTTCCAGAGCTTTCAGACAACTGGGGTTTATCTTACAGTTTCAGATATATGCAGCTGAAATTTATAATATATAGTTAGAATATACAGTGAGTCACTGCTTGAATGTCTGATGATTATGTGCTCTCTGCAGGAAAGATTTCAAGTGAAGAATCCTCCACATACATATATCCAGAAATTAAAGGGCTATCTCGATCCAGCAGTAACCAGGAAGGTAAGAAGTATTCTGTGTCCTTTAGTATGCTCTCACTTCCGCACTAATAGGCAGAATCATCTTTGATTTGGAGTTCCTCCCTGTGTGTGAAAGGCCCTGTAAAAATCTTGAAGTCCATGTCTCTACTACAGCGGCAGAGCTATGCCATTGCAGCTGTGCCGCTGTCGTGCAGATGCTTCCTACATCGATGGAAGGGTTTTTTCCATTGATGTAGGTAATCCACCTCACTAAGAGGTGGTAGTTAGGTTGACAGAAAAATTGACCTAGCTGTATCTACAGTGTGGGTTAGGTTGACGTAACTTTGTTGCAAAGGGCATGATATTTTTCATGGCCCTGAGTGAAGTAGCTATGTCGACTTAAGGTTTAGGTGTAGACCAAGCTTGCAAAAGTCTCCCAGATTCCAGTCCTAACAAAACAGATGGAATCAAAGAGAAATTGTTAGAGCATTGCTGTTTTCACAGTTCATTAGGCAAAGAGTTAAATAGATGTTACAAATAAAAGAAACATCTGGCATAAGGAAAGATGGATTTAATGGCTTGTTGTGTTCTCAGTGCGGTTCCTAGTAGCTGTTCGTCCTCATAACAAAAAGAAAAGGAGTACTTGTGGCACCTTAGAGACTAACCAATTTATTTGAGCATGAGCTTTCGTGAGCTACAGCTCACTTCATCGGATGCATACCGTGGAAACTGCAGTAGACATTATATACACACAGAGACCATGAAACAATACCCCCTCCCACCCCACTGTCCTGCTGGTAATAGCTTATCTAAAGTGATCATCAAGTTGGGCCATTTCCAGCACAAATCCAGGTTTTCTCACCCTCCGCCCCCCCCCCCACACACACACAAACTCACTCTCCTGCTGGTAATAGCCCATCCAAAGTGACCACTCTGTGTGTATATAATGTCTACTGCAGTTTCCACGGTATGCATCCGATGAAGTGAGCTGTAGCTCACGAAAGCTCATGCTCAAATAAATTGGTTAGTCTCTAAGGTGCCACAAGTACTCCATTTCTTTTTGCAAAGACAGACTAACACGGCTGTTACTCTGAAACCTCATAACAAAAACTACCACCTTTGGCACTAGTTGACCCTTTCTTGGCAATCTCATCAAAGAGGTCAAGGGATGAATGGAAATGGAGGGTGAACAGCAGACCTGAAATGAACTTGAGACCTAGATGGATATTTCTACACTATTAACGCTACAGCGGCATAGCTGCCATGCTACACTTACGCTGCTGTAGTGTGGACGCTTGCTACAGTGACAGAAGGGGTTTTTCCATCATTTTACTTAATCCACCTCCTCGAATAGCTAGGTTGTCAGAAGAATTCTTCCATCAATCTAGTGCTATCTACACCTGGGCATAGGTTGACTTAACTACATCTCTCAGGGATGTGAAGTTTTAAGTGTAGACCAGCCCTGTGTTTGAGATGGACTACCAGTGTTTGCCTAAAACAGCCCACCAACAATGAGCCCTTGATCCTCTTTTTTCAGAGAACTGTTTCCACCTCCTTTACGTCAGAAACGGTAATGAACCACCTGCCTCAGTATGTCAGCAGAGCTCCTGTAATCCTTTCCCAGCAGGATCAAAACCTGCTAACAGGAGGAGTGTTTTAGACGAACACTGTTACATAGTCCTGTCGTGGTTTTTCTGGGGTCAAGATGGAGGCACACTGGCAGCTCAGTTGGGGAAGTTTGCATAGCTGTTGTCCTGGCTATCCTGTGGATAAAAAGAGGAGTTTAGTCTCTGGGGTTTTGAACATGGTAGTACATTCACAAGGGGCCTCATCCCAATTTGCTTTCAAATACATTTCAAATCACTGGTATTTATTTACCTCAGCTGTTTGCTCATATTGTGTTGATGTTTTTAACAGCTTTTTTCTTAAAAAAAAAAAAAAAAAAAAGTAACCAAAGCATAGCTCCTATCAATGACTGGTTCTCCGTCTTCCAGCTTAAACAATCACTGCTTTGTGTTGCCATACAATTAGCTTAACCGGTGTCTTGTGGTAAAATACGTATCCTGCCACAATGCTCCAAGCCCAGGACCAACCACACACCACTGGAGTTGAGGTGGGCCTATGCTATTGAAGAAATACAATGGGGCATACACTAGGTATCATTTTCTTTCCTGTTGGCCTTCATTAGCTCATGTCTTCAAGGCTGCAATAAAAGTATCTTCTGACACAATGCCTCTCGTTGTGGGAAGCGACAAGAAGGAAATGCCGTTCTTAACTTTAAATTTGTCCGCAGCTGATTATAGTAAGAAGAGAAAGAAAAGAAAATAAACCAAATGGTAAACAGGGGCTTTGTTTTTTCCTGGAGCATTTTTCAGATTCATGTAGTGTTTGGTTTGCTCTGTGGTCAGTCCCTGGGCACGTTGAAACCCTTTTTGTCCTAGTGCTATTGTCAGACTCCCCCATTATGACAAAATCAGTGTAACCTAAAAATAACTTAATCAAGTTTCTCTCTTTTGTTTTGTTTTATATAACTAGTCAGCCCAGATTGCAAAGGGGAAAGATTTACAAATGGGCTCCTTGGGCTGATGCTTGGGGGAGTATTCACATTACCATAATTATTGCTGTAATTAAGGTTGTGTCAGCATTTTGTATCCTAAATGCTTGTATGGTCAGGAGGAGGTAGTTCCAAACATTGTCGTATAATATTCATTTGAGTACTCAAAGTCTCCTGGATAAATAGCTATTTTTCCCTTGTGAGCTGCATTTTCAAGCACTTAGGTTAGCCATGTTTAAATTATATATTGCTAAGCAAATCACAGTCTGGTGGCTTCTTATAGTCTTATAAATTACAGAACACTTAATTGTCTCTGCTCCAGGTTGCAAACAGCAACCCTGTTGGAGGATAATAACCATGCAACAGGCAGTTGTGGAACATTCTTCCCACCTCTGTCTCTCCACCTTCCCAGCTTTCCCATCACCACTGCAACACTAGACTAAGGCTTTGTCTTCATTGCAAAAAGAAAAGAGATGTGTTTTTACATCACGACACAGCGATCTTGCGGGAATTGGAGCCCCTGCAGTGACAGAAAACCTCTTTCCATTTCTGTAAGAAGAATCTACACTACGGTGCTTTGGCAGCATAGCTGTGACACCATTGGTGTGCCACGGTAGTGTAGACACGGCCTCAATGTGATCAGCAATCAGCATTCGGTGATATAGTAAGAAACGTACAGGAACATTTCCTCTCTCACAAGAAAAATCCCCAAAGAGATTAAAGGCCAAAAACCACATTCAGTGTAACACAGACCAGTGTTATACAATTCAAACTGCTCTTCATTCACATTGCTGGACCGTTCAAGATAAGGATAGAGTTGGCTTCAACTCTGAATTTCCTGGGTTCACGCATTCCCACTCTTGCTGCTACTGGTGGAACTGCACTGATGGGAGATATTCAAAATAAAGCAAGATTATTAGAGAGTTCTGTACTGTATTGTAACTCAGTAGTTTACTGATATTTGCATTTGATCTGGGCCTCATTCCAGCCTCTAATTTTGCACCTACAAATAATCACAGCACACAGATTGTAGTACTGAGATATCTGGTTATTTGTTTGCACCTACAAATCAGGTAGTCAGATGTAAATGCCAACAACTCTTGTGTTGTGGAGACAAGATTGCAGGTGCAAAATTATTGGCCATTGCTGAAAATCATGTTCCTATGCTGGAACTGTCTGAAATTTTGGGTGCTAAAATAGAAATTGTATTGTAAAGAAATATATATTCCTTTACAGAATTTTAATTCTCCTTTTCACTTCCAAACTTTCAAATGAGGAAATTACAAAATTGTATTTGGAAGCAGGAGTTATATTTCTGAGTGTCTTTTAGTTGCTAGTCTGATTAACAGTCTTTCATTTCTCAGGATTTGGAAATGTTCTCAATATATTTTAATATTTAACATATTCTGTCTCCTATGGGATTATGGCATTTTTGAATAGCATCATGTGAGTCCAAATATGTTTCTCAAGTATTTTTTCCCCCAACTGAATTATAGAAATTCAGAAGACGAGTCCAAGAATCTACACAAGTACTACGAGAACTGGAAATTTCTTTAAGAACAAATCATATTGGGTAAGAGTTATTAATATCCACTGACTGCTAGCTTTGGGCAAATATCTCCATGCTCTTTAAAGAATGAGGTGGCCTAATGTATTGGTCACTAAAGATTAGAAGGCTGGGATTTGGGCTGTGCAGTACATTAACGTGTTAGCTGGTCATCCCTGAAGGCTCAATTTTAATCTGCTCATTGTAGGCCCAATCCAATTGCCTTTGAAGTCAATGGGAAGACTGCCATTGACTTCTTTAAGAGCTGTATCAGGCCCTGGGGTAAATCAGAAGAGAAATGAGACTGATAGGGTCTGCAGTTTAGTCAACTACTCTCTATCTCCCCCCCACCCCCCCGTTTTATAGCTTCTGCTCAGGAAACCTCAGGTCTGGAATAGTAATAGTTTTGCAGAGGAGCAATGAGATGTTGTTTTGGAAACTTCTGCATGCCATGTTTGCATGATGCCTTACTGCTAGCTAATACTTTCACAAGCACAAAACTTTCTTCAAATATTAATAGGAAAATGAATTTTGGAGAATTACCTTTTTTTTATTCCACATTCCATTTCAAATGCTTATTTATATCAACTTTGCAAACCTGTACTCAGAACCTGTCTCAGAGACTGAAGAGTTATTCAGCATTAGCATGTCAGACCAAAATAAGATTTCTTTAAAGCTTTGTTAAATGGTTCCAGTATGTGTGCACCTAAAATAGGTTCCTGAGGTAGATTTCTGCACTTGGCGATTATATCTTGATGAAACAAGGAAAAGAGTAGTTGTTATCAGCTTGACTGATGCAAAAAAACAGCTGTTTTCTTAATCACACTGGGTTTCCTTCAACAGAAAATTCTGTCTGCCAGCTTCTTTGGCACAGAGGTCATAGAAAGTAACTGATTTTGACTCAGGATCAGGCAGACAGGGTAAAAGACATTGAACTGTCTGCACGGACAGGAGCATTTCTGCACCTACAGCACTATCAGGGAGTCCTTGGACTGCCAGCTAAGACCTGGACAGTGGGAAATGACTCAATATTTTAAAAATAAATTTGAGGCATTTGCTTACTTAGGCTGATGTGACAAAGAGCTGGTACTAATCTGTCTGAGGAACCTCTGTCCCGGGGTGATGGCAGTAGTCTCAGTAAACATTGTGAGCACAGTCTTTGTGATGTCTTTCCAATGGGCCTCTTTCCTTACATGGGCCTGGAATAGTTGTTGGCTTAGCTACATGAGAGCTGTATGTCTGTTCCATGGTATGTTGTGGTGTGCTGCTAAATCCCAGAGACTAAATATGGGAGCAAGCAACAGTCTCAGATTATCGAGGATTAAAATCAAGATTCCACTCCTTAAGAGCCAAAACTGCAGTTGGCAACCAGCTGTGATGAAATACAGTAGGACAGTGCATGTCCGGGATTTCCACAAAATGTCAAATGACTTTCTGAAACATTACAGAAATGAAGTCAAATTGACCATCAAATACTGAAGTTGAAACCATCATTTCTAATACAGTGTTGGCAGGGTTGCAAAGTTTCAGGATGAATCTTCCAGAGTAAGCCAATGCAATCTGTAAGCAATCGTAGCAGTTTGTCAGCAGCTAAAGTACAAGCTATAAAATGTTGTGGACAATTTTTTTTCCATGGAATTTTCAGTGGAAGTTTTCAGCACATCAGCTCACTCTTGAATTTTTGGAGACTTGCACCAGAGTTAGCCTTTCAAATCCCATTAAAGTCCATGGCTGACTGTGGCTAAAATGTGTGCAATTCTTTGATAACATCGAAGTGGCGATGTGTGGCTCTTTTGCCACACAGTGTAAAGTAAGTAACTCACCCAAGGCTGACTTTACCTGATAAAGGGGTTCTTTAGCAAAAAATTCTTCTAAAGGTGACAGTTTCCCCTCTCCCCACCCCGTCTAATGATTTTTTTAAGAAAGCCTCTCTTAACCCTGTACAAGATTGTAAGCTTCTTTGGGAAGGGGTATTTTTGGGATCATTAAGTTTTGAGCATATTATGGGTGCTACTGGAAATTCATATATAATAATTCTATGTGCTTCTCTGGCAGACTGTAAGAGACAAGGAATATCATAATGCATAGCCTATGTTTTTGTGTGGAAATTCTTGACATGTTCCGTCTTACAAGATTTGAAAATGTGAAGGAGTTGTTTCCACGTGTTGTTCATAGAATCAAATCCAGACATCAGCACTCCAGGGAGCTACAGCCTTTTGGTGTTTTGGTAGAAGTCTGAGGCCCTGCCTCTGTGGTGGGAGAAGTGTAGCAAGTCTTATTTTCTGCCTGGATAAAATAGTTTGTTGGGTTTTTTTGCATAGTTTTTTATGGTTAATTGTAAGCAATTTGGGATGGGAGTTGAGAGAAGTATCCTTTCCATTGTAATGAATAGCAGTGGGGGCTTGGCATGGCACCTCTCTCAGTTTAATGGAGTGCTCTCAGTTTTCATCAGGGCTGTTTGGAATCCCTTAAGCAGGGCCTGCAGAACATTGACACTGTCCCAAAGTCTCTTGGGATATTACACATATATCACATCATCACTACAAGACAACTTCATCTTGGAGGACAAAGTTGAATAAGTGGCATCATTAAGGAAAGTCTGTTTCACAGAATGACACTTTAATTTTTCTGAGGTAAACTCAGATCAGCCTGAGGGAAGAGAAGAACTATAAAAGCCGCTTTTGCTTGTTTGACTCTTAATGCTAGTGTTGGCTGGCCATGGCCTCATCATTGGCTGAATGATGACACTTCTTTTGGAAGATAATAGTTTCTGACTATAGCTATGCTAAGAGCTCCTTAAGGTACAGAACATGGGTGCTGGGAGGGGTCCCAAGGGCTGAGAGTTGCTTTAAAAGGTAACATAAATCTGGGGGAAATGCAGCCATATCCGCTGACAACTTTGGGATTGGGAGTTGCTAAATAGCTGCAGAGAAAATGAAATCACTATGGGTTGCATGGAGAGGTGAAAGAGCAAACTCTTTATGCTAACAGAAGTAAAGTATTGCAGAAAATTAAGTGTCCCCAGTAGAGCTGCTCCATATTTACATGGGTGTAACTAAGAACAGAATCTGGTCCAACGTCTTAGTACTTGAATGAATATATAGATGCCAATACAGTGTGAACTTTGTGTTTTATAATAGTTTTCCATCTTAGATACGTATATAGCACCATTTTGAAACACTTGGATGCTCTTGGTATGTGGCAAACATCTAAACGCACTCCATCTCCTGAGTCCTTGCTATGTTTTCTGCTTTATTTCTCCCCTTTTCCAGAATAAATAATTTCTCACTAGAGTCCAAAAGCATCCAGGCTGTGTCATTCTCAAATACAAATTTATGACTTACCACAGATATCCAGAAGGAACCATTATGGCATATTTTGTAAATAATACAGTCTTACAAAATCAGTGCAATTTCCAAAATGCATATTTTCCTTCAGTCAACTGGATGAAAGATATGTGTGGCAAAATGTAGATCATATACTACTCCTGGGGGAATTCTGCCCCACTGCGCAATTCAGAAAATGTGCACAGATTTCCTTTCCCCACAGATATGAGCTGCAGTGCTGCTAGCCACCACTAGGGGCTGCTGGCCCTGCAGAGCCCAGCTCGCACATAGAAGACACAGCTGTGGGGAGGGAGCTAGCGAGTTCCTGGCTGCTGCAATTCCCAGCATGCCCTGAGGGAAGGAGAGGGTGGCACACAGGAATCTCCGTGAAGCCTGGGACGGAGCATCAGGCTGTTTCTCCCTCTGGGTCCCTGGGCTCTGGGGGGAGTGGGTGGGTGTCTGGGCAAGGGGGGGCACCCACGGCTGGGCTTGGGGGGGGGCTGTGGGTATCTGGATTGGGGGGGTCTTGTGGCTGGGCTCTGGGGGAAGGGGTGTGGGTATCTGGGCCAGGGGGGCTCCGCAGCTGGGCTTGGGGGGGTTGCAGGTATCTGGACTCGGGGGGCCCTGTGGCTGGGCTCTGGAGGAGGTTGTGGGTGTTTGGCCTACCGGCTGGGCTCTTGGGGAGGTGCGGGGGAAGTGGCAGAGAAACAGGAACTGGGTTGTTATAGGGGTTTCTTTAACTTTCTACTCCTGAGGGAATTTTTGTGTGTGTCTGTACTGTTACAGACATATTTGCTGACAGGTATTTTGAAAAAAATTATCAAAATAATTGAAACTGGTATGATTATATAGTGTTATTTTGACAAATAAAATGTGCAGAATTTTAAAATATTGTGCGCAGAATTTTTAATTTTTTGGTGCAGAATGCCCCCAGGAGTAATATACATACCAAGATGTTTATTCTACAACGTAAACAGTATGCTCTAAAACATAAGGCCTAAAGAATAACTCAAGGCTAGATTGTAAATTTACAATCTGCCCTGAGTGAAGGGCAACGCACAAATGCGCTGCCCCAAGAGCAAACTAGGGAGGGAATTGTAACTCTGTGTCATAATTCACTCCCTGGTTCTCAACTTATTCCAGGGGTAAATATTCTGCTACTGATAAATACTTCGCTATGCTGGTTGGTGTGTTGAGGAGGTATGAGGGATGAAGCCAAATCTCCACCCATTCTCCACCCCTTGGGTTTGCTCAAAACTAGGTCAAGATTCTCAAACCTTAGCAAACTAGCCCTGAATTTTTCACTTTTCCAATAATAACCAGTAATGTTTTGCAGGATTTCAAATTTTGTTGCAAATATTTTGCACGGCTCTGCTTTAGGGGCTTGAATTTACTTTAACAGGTTAAAGCCTTTTTAAAAAATGTGATCTCATATTAGTATGAGAAGGAAAGCTTATTTTTTAAAGAGATATGAAGTACATCATAGTGTAGCCCTGATGTTGTTATTCCTTAGCTTTTTTGTTGCCTATAACTTCTTGAAAGATCACTAAATGCCGGTACATGGAAAAAATGAAGCCAATTCATATGACTCTTGCATTTCAAGAAGCCCATAAATGCTGCTCTAGTATTGGCTGATTCCGTGGTTTGAGCAGCTTGCTGTGCCAGAAAGGAGATGAATGTGGGTTTGGAAGGAAGCTTCAGCTACATTAGTAGTGTTGTCATGGTACGTGTCTACTAACTACTCCAAATTATACTGGACCTTTCAACAGGAACTTAATTGTTATGGGGAAATGGGCAGTACTTACCAGAACCAGGTTTCTTTATGAAAAAGAAAAAAAAAAGCAATATATCTGTGTAGGTTTTCCTGAGCAGCGCAAAGTGTGCATGGTATAGATATTAATGGTAGAAAATGTTTTCTTATTTGTGATGCTGCACACAAAGGTATATTTGTGAACCCTCGCTTCTTGAGTGAGAAATGAAAAGCATTTGCTCAATATATTTCTTTTCACACAATGGATGTTTTTGTAGATTGACTGAAACAAGAATTTCGTCAGATATGCCCCTGCACTGAACAATCAAATCCACTGATCTCTAATGATTTTTCTAACAGATGGGTCAGGGAGTTTTTGAATGAAGAAAACAAAGGCCTGGATGTTCTGGTGGAATATTTGTCATTTGCACAGTACGCAGTCACGTAAGTAAAACATGGCTTATGTTCATCAGGGTTCGCAAAACAAAACAACATAGTGTAATATAGATAGACTGGCAGAGAGAGTAATATCTAGTCAGATGCTGTACTATTCCAGTAAAGTTGTTTACATTGCAGTAGCTTGCACAGAATTATGTAGGTTCCTTAGAATCAGAGCAAATGGCAAAATTAGATCCCAAATGTTGGATCAGAGCATATTGCAGAGAGAAGGAAAACAAAAAACTTTGCTTGTATATTTATGCCGTCTGAGCCAGAGGCGGATTAGGGATTTGTGTGGCCTGGGCCAGAGCAAGTGGGGACCCCTCCCCACTCCTTCTGCCTGCAATCCGTCCTGCTTCCTGCCCCTGCCCTGCACTCGTGCCAGAGAAGTGAGTTCGGGGTGAGGGAGCTTCCCCTGCTTCTTGGCAGGAGTGCCAGGCGGAGCGGGGCAATCCCCCCGCGCCCTACCCCACTCCCCGGCAGGAGCGCCAGGCGGGTGGAGCAGATGGGGATGCAGGAGCGCCCATTTTTCTGGGGGGCCCCCCAATTGGCGGGGGGCCCTGGGCACAGGCCCTGTTGGCCCAGTGGCTAATCCACCACTGGTCAGAGCAGTTTTTTTTTAAAGATTAATCACATCTGTTTTAACTTGATCCCCTCTTAGTGGGACAAAGTACAATAAAGAATGAATAAATTTTGCGTTACATCGAGATATTGGCCTAAGAAAAATGGCCAATTTTTTACCTTCCTTTCCAAAAGCTTCTTTTAGATCCCACTGTTTGTGTTCCTTCCCTCAAATATCATGAGATCATGTAATGGACATTATATTCTTAAATATATGGGCAAGGTTGAACTAAGTACACCCAGACAATTTTTTCAGCCATGTTGTATTATGATATAATACCTATGAAGTTCAAAGCAAAATACTCACATTAACTAATTCTCACAATACTCTGTTAAAGCTGGGTAGGTATAATCAGATCACTTTTATGGATAGGTAGATTTCAAGAAAGAGAATATCTATTAAAAGACCACTTAGGAAGTCAATGGCAAAACTAGGAATAAAAAAGGAGTCCTGGCTCCCAGTTGTCTGACCTTACTACTAGACAACACTTCCAAATATATTGTTATTTGTTCTGTATTAAAACAATGCAAAGTTGGAAAAACTCATTATGGGCCTGTCATAAATATAAAGGGAAGGGTAAACCCCTTTAAAATCTCTCCTGGCCAGAGGAAAAATCCTCTCACCTGTAGAGGGTTAAGAAGCTAGGATAACCTCGCTGGCAACTGACCAAAATGACCAATGAGGAGACAAGATACTTTCAAAAGCTGGGAGGAGGGAGAGAAACAAAGGGTCTGTGTCTGTTGGTATGCTGCTTTGCCGGGGATAGAACAGGAATGGAGTCTTAGAACTTAGTAAGTAATCTAGCTAGATATGCGTAAGATTTTGATTTCTTTAAATGGCTGAGAAAATAAGCTGTGCTGAATAGAATGGATATTCCTGTCTGTGTGTCTTTTTGTAACTTAAGGTTTTGCCTCGAGGGATTCTCTATGTTTTGAATCTAATTACCCTGTAAGGTATTTACCATCCTGATTTTACAGAGGTGATTTTTTTTTTTTTACTGTTTCTTCTATTAAAATTCTTCTTTTCAAGAACTGAATGCTTTTTTCATTGTTCTTAAGATCCAAGGGTTTGGGTCTGTGGACACTTATGCAAATTGGTGAGGATTTTTACCAAACCTTTCCCAGGAAGTGGGGTGCAAGGGTTGGGAGGATTTTTGGGGGGAAGACATTTCCAAACAACGCTTTCCTAATAAAATAAACCCAGATAAACATTTGGTGGTGGCAGTGGAAGTCCAAGGACAAAGGGTAAAATAGTTTGTACATTGGGAAAGTTTTAACCTAAGCTGGTAAAAGTAAGCTTAGGAGGTTTTCATGCAGGTCCCCACATCTGTACCCTAGAGTTCAGAGTGGGGAAGGAACCTTCACAGGGCCAATGTAAATCATTGTATCTTCATTGACTGAAATGGAGGTAATTTAAACAACTGAGGATATGTTCTCACATACTCACAGGGTTTAACTTCATTATATTTAGGCTTGGATGGATTAGATTTTTGATGGTAAGTGTTGGTAAGTGTCGATTTCATCGTATGCACACAAACCAACCAAAAAAAAAAAGATCCATCAGTAAGAATTTACAGATAGGCAAAGTAAGAAAATTGCTGCTTGAGAACTTATTAGAGTTCGATTTAAGGATATTTACTTTATGTATTTTGTCATGGGATGTTGTGAATTTGTGCATTAACAGTTATAAAGCTTTAAGTTTTTGAATATCAATGTCCAATGTCATAAAATAATTATTGTCTGACCCCCCTTCTATTTTCGTGCAACTGTGAAGATTTAAATAGCTAAAATATTGTTTTAAAATGCTTAAAACTCATAATTTTGTGCAAATAGGAAAATTTAAATAAATAAAAATAGAAAAAAATCCTTAAAATTGATATCTGTCAAAATTGTAAAAAAATAAAAATTGAATTATGCCAACCCTAATTACATTGTACTTATAACTTCTTATATGAAATGGATGTGGTAAGAAAAGATAGAGCTGCACACTGTATTGTACATACAAACCCTAGCTAAGTGGAACCAATTTTTTTTTTTTAAATTGAATACATGCAGATATATATTACCATTGAAAAGAAATGAGACTTTTGGTGGAATTATAATAAAAGTAATGAAGGAAAATTATATGTTTAAAAGTATTACTAACACTGGAAAAACTACACACAGCTTGTTTTAAGGTTTCTTCCTAAAATTGTATAGGTGGAAGCAAGTTAACGTGCCAGAGTTTTTTTTTTTTCTCTCTCTCTAACGTGGCAAACGTAAGTAATAACCTCAAAAGATGTAAGAGGAACAACCAACTCTTGCTTGAAATGGCAACAAAGTGGGTGAGGAATAAAAAATCAAGAAAATCTGTAATGATTTTTGGTAATGTATTACATATGGTTCAAGATTAGCCTTGGCCAACAAGCCAGTATAAATGCTCAGTCACATATTGATGGATGAAATTAAATTAATAGCCACACAGTGTATTGATTTATTAAAATAAAATTAAGACAGCTTTGAGTTTCCCCCTCCACTCTCCAAGGCTGTTGTTCATCAGCAAATCAGTCAGTGTATTTTTTTTACATTGAAATAAGATTAATTCATGGCTGTTTGAGTCTTCTTAAATTATATTCCTATGTTGCTCATTTCTCCTTTTGTCAAGTTCCAAATTTGCTGCAAAATGTACTTGAATATAGCACCGTGTTCCAGCTGAAGGGAAATTATTTTGCATTGCTTTTTTTATGTTTTCGTGTAATCTGTTGGGACCTAGTAAATCTGCAGATGTTTAACAGGAAGGAAAAAAGCTATGTACATCTTTTTTTGTGTAAGCCTACTTTGGAATTTCTATTTCCTTTCAGTTTTGACTTTGAAAGCTTGGAGAACAATGTGGAAAATTCAATGGATAAATCCAAACCTTGGAGCCGTTCCATTGAAGACCTGCACAGAGGAAGTAACTTACCCTCGCCAGTTGGCAATAGCATTTCCCGCTCTGGCAGGCATTCTACTCTACGGTAAGGCCATTTAATCAGGGAGTAGGACTACCTTAGAAATGTGGGTTCATGAGTGAGGAGGATCATGTTGGTTTTAAAGTTATAATAATAATAATTTGCATTTGTATAACACCTTTCATCCCTAAGCCCTGTACAGATTCGACATACGTAGGAACACTTTGCACTGAAATGCAACCAACTTTCAGGTGGAATGAAGCAGTAACTTTACAGCACACAGCAGCTCTACGCAACTGTTGAGGGGATTAAGAGAGGAATACATCGTCCATTTTCAATGGCAGAGTAATTTAAGCAATTGAATAATGTAATTATTCAAATTAGAATGTAGCTAGCACACTGAGTGCAATCTCTTCTCTTGCAGACAGTGCCAAGGGGTCTTTAATGACCGCAGGTGGTCAGGCCTTCATATCTAACTTCTCATCCAAAATGCAGCATCTCCAACAGCCCATTACCCCCTGAACACCATGCAGGAGCACTGAATCAAAGGGAAGACCATTTCCCTGTTGCAATACCAACATCACCTCTGGCAGCACGCTGACTTTTGCTTTGAGGTCTCCTATCCAGGAATTGAACACACATTCACCCTGTTCAGTTTGTCATATCTGACAGGATAACCGCCGAAGAGAGCAGAGAGGGTGACTATTTTATATATGTTCATGCTACATGGATACTTTTTCATGTTACTCAACATAATGAACAGCAACTTTAGGGTACCAATATAGTCAGTTGTGTCGGCAATTCAGTATGGCAGATGGAATTTAATGGTCTGTGGTTTTCAGTTCTTTGGCCCCTTTAGGATATTTCTGGTTAATATCAGCTATTGAGAGGATAAGGAAACTTGGAACCACCAAATATTTAGTAATTTGTTCTAGATCTTCCACTTGAAGTTCAGATTCAACTTGCCAAGTACTGCTAGGTTGGGCTTTCTTAGTCCCAGATCAGGGGATAAATGGATGCACTTCAAGCTACAGCAGCAGTTGGAATGGATCTGAAGTGTAAAAGATTTAATTCAAGGATTTCAGAAGGCTAAAAGGAGAAAAGTGGAGACTTGGAGCTGGACGCAGCCCTTTCTGAGAATACACAGAATTGTAAAATGAAGTGAAATCAAGTTGGCCCAGGGAACAGGGTTTTCCTGAAAATGTAGCACAGGAGAAATCTTTTTTATTCTCATTGATGCACTGAATTATTTAAGTGGGTCATTTTAATCTCCTCTAAAAGGTACTGTCACCGTGCCTGGTACCCCTGAGAAGGCCAATATGACACACCCCCTTATGCTACTTGTGGACTGCAAAAGGATTTTAGTATAGGCATTTCATTCAGAATCTGGTATTTATTGTTCAATAATGTTATTTTAGGTGGATTCTAGTCCTGTTCTTTGTCACTGGGAGGTGTGTGTGACTAGTATACCAGGAATGCATAATTCAGGTGTGCATTACATGTTGCTTACATTTTTTCTCTTCCTTTCCTCTCGTTGCCTTCCATCCTTCTTTCCTCTTTCACATATCCCCTCTTTCCTCCTCCTTCTTTTCCATATCACCTCCTCCTCCTGTGCATCCTTCCTTTCCCTTCTTCTTCCTTTTCCAAACCTCCTCCTCCTATCCTTCATTCCTTACATTTTCCTCATCCACTCTCATCCATCTTTCAAAATGCCATCAGATCGGTTTCTCTGCATGAACAACTTCAGTTCAAACGCCGCCAGAGCTGCTTTTCACCCAACTGTCTCTGGAGCGGCTTCAGTTTACACTCTGCTGGTGAGGCTTCAAGCCGGAAAATCTCGTAAGTCACAGGTGTAAGGTTACACCCAGGAGAGCTGTGTAGTACATGGTAGCAGGGTATTTAACTGCTGCTCATGTTTTATAATATGATAACCACATGTCTTGGGTGAGGCATTATGCCAAAAGTGGGGGTTCCCAGCTTCCGAAATGTGCAGTTATCACATTATAATTCATATTTCAAAGTGTAGTTTGGTTCCGTAGAGTGGGTTGTAAAAAGAAAAAATAAATTTGAAAATTGTAGTTTGAAACAAATAGTTGTTTTCATGTGAATAGTTTTATAAGATTTATACATAAACTGCAAAGCCATAGTTGTTGTTTATAGTATTGCATAATTTAGTATTATTAATAGTAATAGCAATAACAACGTCGGCTCAAACTCAGACTTATTTGTACTCAGACCTAAGGAGAGTTTTATCTGATTGAGGACTTCAGAATTTGGCCACATAATGATAAATAACAAAAGCTTATTTCAATTGCATCTGAAAACACTGCAGGACTATAACCCAGTAGGACCCCTATGCCCCATCCAGTTGCTGTATTCCAGGTGCTTCATCCTAAACGATGCACACTGTGTACGGGGCCATTTTCTAACCGATGTTCCTTTTTTACAGGAAAGCTGCATTTTAGGGGAATAAACTAACTTTCAAAGTCTTTTTAATTAGAAAAAAACACTTTTTTTCTGAAACAGACTTTTTGCTTTGCAAATCAGCAGCACCTGACTTATGTCAATTTCTTTACGATCATTTTTATTATTATTTCTGTAAGATGGCAGGCATCTTGGGTTACACCCGTTCCAATGGCTTGAATTATTCCTAACAATGTTTAACTTGTATAGGTCTTCAAAGCTTAGCTGAAGCTACTAGTATGTGTTTACACTTGTGGTAAAAAACCGGCTGGCACTGAGACTCAGGGTCTGGGTCAGCTGACTCAGGCTCTCAGGGCCTGGGCTGGAGGCTATAAAATTGCAGTGTAGACATTTGGACTTGGGCTAGAGCCCCTGGCTGTGAGACCCTTCCCCCTTGCGGGGTCTCAGAGTCTGACCTGCAGCCTGAGTCCTGTGAGCCCAAGTCTTTTATTGCAGTGTAGACATTCCCATGGGGTCCTGGATTGTCCTAATGCCTGGGTTGTAGTTATAAAACACAAATAAATACAATGAATCTGAAAGAAAAACCAGACAATGTTGTGAAGTAGGTGTAGAGCCAAATTCTGCCCTCACTTATAGTGATGCAACTCCACTGATATAGGCCAAATTTATCCCTACTGTAAATCCCTCATAGTTGATAACATTGTCCTTGTCTTCCTATCCGTTTGTTTGTCCCTGTCTTATGCATGGCCAAGATTATCCATCACTTTTCAAGTTGTTACTTTAATTGACTTTCTGCAGCTCTCAGTGTCAAATTCTGCCTAATTCCAGTCTCATAATTGTTTCCATAGCAACTAATATATTTCAAAGAGGAAAGAGCATGGCAAGACTGGGTACAGAAAACACAAAAATGTGGGCAGAATAAGAAATGTATGTGGCTTAACTGAAATATATGATAGAGGGTGGTGCTTTAGGGATTTTATTGTCACTTAACTGGGATGACAGCATTACTCCCACTTGAGAGTCATGCTCTCATTTCATATTTAAGCCAATACAAATTCTTGAGCACCCTTCTCCATTATGTATTCTGTGTATGCTGAATAGGCCAAATACTGAGGTCTTTACTTGGGTTATACTCAGACAAGCTTCATTTATATCATTGGACTCTATGGAAGCTTGCCTGAGTTAAAAAGAAGTGGGAACTTCAGGAGTTGACTGTATCCTGAATATATTTTCTTTTGTATGTATGCGTAGGTATATATTTTGGAGGTGATAAGGTTCCCTCAGAATCAGTTCTCATTCAAATTTGCACTTAAAACAGGACTAAAATCCCTGTATCTGATATTCTAAAGATTTAATTTAGTCTCCAAATTTAACTCAATCACTATTCATGGGCCTGTACATCTGCAACTTTGAAACCACTGGAAGAGTTCTTTTCCTTGTTTAAAAATGGTACATGCGGGGGGTGGGGGTGGGAAGGAGTTGTTCTTGGGTCAAGAATAACATACATTCCATTTCACCTGGACCAAATGTTTATTCCCCAGCTAGAGTGGAGATGCTGATAGGCCTCCATTATTTCAATGTTTGTGGGTGCTGCTATTTTAAAATGTTTTCTAAGCTTCCCCTTTTTGGGAGCATCGTTCCCTGCCTTTTGTAGAGTGCAAGTTCATTATCTCTCAGTCAAGGGGATCCAGTTATGGAACCAGAAGGAATCAGGTGAATCCAGAATCTTGCGAACATCAGAACGACACTCACAACATTGACACCCCCTTCTATCCCTAAATCCCTACCCCCCACCAAAAAAAAAACCCCTCTACCCCAAGCAGAGTTTTGATCCCAGAAACAGAGAAGTGCCAGTGACTCCATGAAGTCCATTAGGGACTTGCTTTATTATTATTGCTTTTACATGAAGACCTTCATGGTCATTGGTGGCAGTATAAAATCCTAAACTAGATAGGTGGGGCTGGGAAAGTTGAATAACAATATGGTGTAATAGACCTAATTCACCAAGGCACTTAAGCACATGCCTAATTTTTAGCACATAAGTAGTCCCACTGAAGTCAATGTGTTAGGCTTGTCCTTTGCTCTACTGGGGCCTTCATTCATATACATTAGTTTGTTGCACGGGTGTTTTATAGTTGTCCATGAAGGGTCTGTAGAAGCTGCATGAATGGCTTGTAATTGTTAGACTTACTTATCAGTTTGACTGCTTATGGTTCAATCCTACAAAGTTCTGAGCAATGAGCTCCCTTGGCAGCTCTTCTTGGCAGTGTTACTGGAGAAGCAGGGGCATGGAGACTGAACTAGGTCTTCAGGCTGGCTAGATGACAGATGTGGGGATCTGTGCTGTACCACATCTATGGCAAACTGGAGCTCTCCAGTCTCTGAAGGGGTCAGCTCAGCACCTTTCACAAGAACTAAACTCATTAATACATTCTTAGTAAATTCAATAAAAGGAAAGAAATGGTTGCACTAGTACTGAAGTGGTCTGTTATTAAATCTAGATGAGGACTATATGAGACTGGGGAACCTTGGCTGTAATGTATAGTCAGCAACGATTTTCCTTTCCCTCCAACTGGCTTTTTCCATATGGATGCAGTGTAATAAATTTGGAAATATCGGATCATACATTCACACAGCAGACA